AATGTTAATACGTCACCAAAACAATGTTTCACTCACATATAATTGAACCATATTTAAAATATTAATATAATATTTAAAATATTTCAACATTTTTTTAAAGAATACTGTCATTACCTAAACACCGCAATAATATGCCATGAATATGTATCTTTAATACACAAAAACCATTCAGTTTCCGTTCATTTAATTCAAATATGAAAAATTGCTGTTTTGTGAATCTTTTTGACTGACTCATTAAAAATAACTGATTCATGAGTCATGAAAACTGAGTCATTTTTTCACAAATTTGCCATTATGTCTTTGCTCTCTCTACAGAGATGATGTCTAACGAACCACATATGGATGCACACAATGATTTCTCAGTTGTCACTGCTGGCAAATAGATTTTACATTTTTGTTGCACACACACACACAAAAATCTTTTTATTTTTTTATTTCTGTCTGGGGCCTTGGTAAGCATTAAAGGGATTGTTTGCCCAAAAATGAGAAGTCTTGTCATTTACACAAACCTGTATTATGTCCCTTCTTCTGTAGAACATAAAAGAAGATATTTTGAAGAATGTTGGTAAGCAAACAGTTTTGGCGACCATTGACTTCCACTGTACAGTCCAAAAAAAAAAAAAAACCCAATGATCTTTTTTCAAAGTATCTTCTTTTATGTTCCACGAAAGACAGAAAGTCATGCAGGTTTGGAACAACATGAGGGTGAGTAACTGATGACAGAATTTTCATTTTTGGATGAAAGAACAATACCCTATCAACCACATAGCAACCTCACCCAAGCTTTACAATGGCACGTTTTGCATGGAAAATGCATGCCCTTAAGTCCAACCGAATTCAGAAATGCCCGGAAAACCATGAAACAATGGCACTGGCTGCAGTCCAGTGATCAAAACAATGTGGTTTGCTTTGATATTAGCACCTTCCTTATGTGACCTAGAAACAAATCCCCCCCATGTGTATATGCTGCACTAAAGTTTGGAAATAAGGATAAAGGGGGGTTGTTTTCAAGTCCAATTTCCGTGTCTAAAAACAGCACTGTGGAAAACAATGCTACTACCGTTCAAGATGAAAAACAGAGCTGAATTTCAAAGTTCTGGTCATCATTCTTGATACGTCGCTTATAGCCTCGTCTTCCCCAGACGGCTTCACAATTCCAGGACATTTCAGCGAGGCAGTCAAACATAGAGTGCTAACAAAGTCCTCCACATCAGCAGTCAGCACCTATGAGAGATGACTCAAACATTATTCTAGCTGTCTTCACATGGCTTACATTTCACAGAGTAAGACAATTACCTGTTGAAGGAATGGGATAGGAGGATAATACAGTCAGAAAGTCCTCAGGGGAAGGCAGGAGAGGATGTGGGGCAACCGAACATCCACATGCCCTGACATGCCCTCTCTGGATTAATTATGCAAGAGTGGGGATTATTTTCAAAAAACAGGAATACTGGCTCCGGAGAAGGGGGATGTTTACCAGGGACTGGACATGGAAAAGAATTAACTTACTCCCAGCATTCACTCCCTAAAATTTACAGGGCCCAGGACAAAGGATTTATGACTTATCTCTAGGGCCCAGTGAGTAGGCTAATCTATAGAGGACTTCAGTGGGGTCCCATGACCCGGGATAACATTTCCCGATTGGCCCCCTACCTAACAATGGCCCTGAGCGGTTTGTCGGGAAGGTGCGAAACAAGCAAGAACACAAACACTGAAGCTCACTATGCACTGTACGACTTTTTAAATGTATGATAGATTATACAATGTGATCTGAAAGAGACAGACAAGGCAGATGTGATGTGTGTGTAGTGTTTCATACCAAATTTTACGATAAATTGTAGCCACAATTCATCGCTGAAAAAGCTGGTCGCACACTTTACGAAAAGCCCTGGATGCGTCAATTTGTATTCAAGTTCTCAAGTTCATGGATAGACAAGGCTGATTGTTCGATGTGTACTATACTGCATGCCAGATTGTAGCCAAGACATACAGCCACAATTCTGTGTTGACAAAGCCAGTCGCACACTTTATGAAAAGCATTGCACATTTCATTTTGTACTCGCATTCTCAAGTTCAAGACGCCACCCCAAAACTGTGAATCTACTCGCCATACAGGTAAAAGTTCAGATGTGATGTGTTCAGTGCTTCATGCCAGACTGTACGATAAATTGTCACCAAGACATCCAGCCATGATTCAAGGTTGACAAAGTCGGTCGCACACTTTACGAAAAGCACTGGACACATCAGGGCGTTTACACCTGGTCACTTCATGCGTTTTCTCTGATTGGATAGCTGACATCTGATTTGCTAAAATGGTTCCATTTATACTTGGCCACATTAATGTGTCTACGCAAAATGGATATAAATCCGATCTTAAATTCCCGAACTATATGCAAATTTAACGGAGTTCACGTCAACGAAAGCAACATATATGCACTGCATTTTTTTCATTATCAGCTCATTTCAAGATCAAAGATACGTTTGTCTTACGACTTTAAATGAAGATGATTGAGTGTTGAGCGTATGCGACTTACTTTCAGTTTCATTTGCGTCAGTTTGCGCGTTGGCTTGCTGAAGAGATACTCAGCTACTCATCCGCAGCGATTGTTGTGTTGCATTAGCACTGTCATATCTGGCTATAACACGTTATATAGCCTATAACTGCTGAATGTTACCTTTCTTAAATTAACTTCTGTTTCATCCGTCCTATCTACATAATATTCCTATGATGTCCGGTGTTGCCTTCTTTTCCTGTGTTTTGTCTGACGTTATCCTCTGTATTATTGTTTGATGTTATCTTCACCTATTGGATGTTTATTGTAAAGTGTCCTTGAGCTCTGGAAAGGCGATATATAAATAAAATGTATTATTATTATTATTATTATTATTATTATAACATGCTCTCACATGTTTATTATTTTAACAATTTGGGAGGAGTAAAATTTACATATGTGGTTTCAACAACCAGATGCATTTACACTTGCCCAGTTTCGTCTGGAATGCATCCCAGAACACCTCCTGAAGTGGTGTTCAAAAGTGTTGTGAAAGGCATTTACACCTGGTCTTTTCACGATCTGATAGCTATCCGATTAGTGAAAACGCATGAAGTGACCAGGTGTAAACAGGCCCTCATTCTGTACTCACATTCTCAAGTACATACTATGTACTTACTACAGTGATTTCAATAACTGGGTTATAACTAGGTACTAACCCTGAACCTACCACTAAACCTAACCATAACCCATGTAGTTACCTTATATAACAGTACCTAAGAGCCAGAGGTAAGTATATTGTACGTACATGCAAGTACACATACTGTAAAATAAAGTGCAACCAAACATAGACTTTATTCATACCACAAAAAGACAAACGTATTACTGAAAAATGCACAATATGCAATCATCCAGCCTAGGGTGAAGTCAGTATGTACATTAACGATGATTTGGGACAAAATATGATGTAATTTAGTGCACTATGTCTATTTTGAAAAGCCAGGGTTTGTACATTCACAGAAAAATCTCATTTTTCCTCTACGACAATAGAAACCCTTTATGATCCCAGAAATTTGTCTCAGACAGTAAGATCGTGGCCAAAATTGCTGTCCACACCAAACTTGTCAACACAATGCTGAGGTGTTATTGGTGGTCACCAGTGGTTTTTAGTTCTTTGCTATGGGGTTAGGATTTTGCTAGGCCCAAGTCAAGATAATGCTCAGGTCTCTCCTTCAAGTCTAGAGGAGTCTTTGTCTGTTTGGTTGTCCACCAGGTGCAAATCTCAAGTTTGATCAGTTTTAAAAAATGTGTCTGGTGCCCCCATGTCATTACCAGCAACCACATGTTTGCCTGTTTACCCGTTCCCTACCACTGCCAAGACTAGCGCCTGGTGGATAAATGAAAATAAACCGAATCCCAAGGGAAGTTGGGTGTTTTGTGGTTTGGTTGAGTGTTGAGAGCTCAGTCTCTAGGATACTCACGGGGAGGTGCTTGCGTTTGCGGCCAGGCCGTCCAACCTTGCGGACAGGAGTGCAGAGCGAAGGCATCTCGTCAATAACCACGGTGTCCGTTCTAGAGTTCTCATTCTAAACAGACAGAAATGAACATCAATTAACCATTATTGCTTAACCAAAGTCCTTACTGGCTCATATTCAAGCTCTCAGGCATTTAGCCATTTTGAGATCGATGGATAATAAAGAAAATATATTTTTAGTTCCATATATTTTTTAAAAACTGCAGCTATTTAATTACTATTTAATTTTAAATTCACTGATTTTGACAATATAGTGAAGAAAATATAGTGGCACCATATCAGTTATTGGCTGATAATGAGAATTTTTCAAATGTGCAATTATTGGATATCATTGGCTATTAACGATTATTGGATATTTACACTACAGTTCAAAAGTTTTGGGTGTAGATATCATTTTTTTTAATGATTTTTAGGCGCCTTTAAGTCTTTTATGCTCACCAAGGCTGCATTTATTTGATCAAAAATACAGTACAAGCAGTATTATAGTGAAATATTATCACAATTTAAAATATATGTTTTCTATTGTAATTTTTTCCTGTGATGCAAAGCTGAATTTTCAGCATCATTACTCCAGGCTTCAGTGTCACATGATCCTTCAGAAATCATTCTAATATGATGATTGGTGCTATAAAAAATTATTAAAAAAATTATATAATAGTTAAAAAAAAAAAAACTAAACGTTTTATCATTTTTTATTATTATTCATGTCGAAAACAGCTGTGTAGCATTTATTTAAAACATAAATTGTGCATCCTTGGAAAATAAAATTATTAATTTATTTAAAAGAAAAATCTGATCCCAAACGTTTGAACAGTAGCGTATTTGTGCTTTCTCATTTCTCTGTTTTGACATTTAGATTGCATTTGCCATCATCTAATGCTGACTTAAATTTAATCCTTAAAAACACTAATAATTTAATAACACTGGTAAATGTAATCTAGTCAATCTCAAAATCTAATAAATCTCTGTAATGTTTTAATGTCTAAATTCCCTTTAAACTGACTGATTTTAACAATAAAATTAGTTATTTATTTTCAATGCATTTAAACAAAACAGTAGAGTTTATCAGTTATCAGCCATAACATGAAAATAATTATCAGCTTATAAATCAATTCAACCTTAATTTTTTACAATATGTATTCTCAACCTTTACACACCAAAACGTGCCCGTACACACACCAAGACTTAAATTCGTTGAACGAGAATTTTAAATATCACTCTATCTTTCATACCAAGGTTATTTAGCTAATGAGAAAAGCCCGTGTTTGAATGGCATCATCCTTTTAGCCGAGCTAAAGTTTGGGGTGATACAGCCGTGGAGAGATCCCGAACTCTCTGGGCTCTCTCCTGACACAGTTACAAAGACATTCAGTGGTTCATTCTCTCCCCTCATTCACTTTCTCTTTGTTTAACACAACCGTGTCTTCCCTCCTCAACAATAGCCACTCTTCGTCCAGCCAAGCACCCTAGGGTGGACGGGAGAGAGAAGATGATCCTAATGTAGCCGCTGCAGCAGCTTCAGGGCTGGGATGAATCAAACCACCGGCTCTAAATCAGAATGCTAATGAGGATGCTGTCCCCGTCTGCCATGACTACTGAGAAGTCCAGCATGGCCGAAAGATGGCGGGACACCACTGGAATTTCTTATTATTAATGCATAATGATGCTGATATGAAGCAGGGTACAAATAGCATCTCAAGTTACCTAAAAATGTACAATTAAATTCAAATCAATGTTTTATTAAAATATATTTAGATTTAAAATATGATGCATATTTATATTTTATTATTTTTTCATATATATCTATTTACTTCAAATCAGAGTTCTGGAGAGTTAGCATTGCTCTTTTCCTGTGACGGTCTTTCCACATATTTTATGACTAAAAGAACCCTCACACAATGTTCTCATTACGATACAATTAAACAAACAGAATGTTTAAACAAACAAAAACAAAGGGTGTGCACAGAAATCGACGTTGCCTTGTGTGAACTCAGTCACACCGTCTACATCTTTGCTCTATTTCTGTCGGCAGCCGGTTATTTAAGGCAAGAACTGTTGCCAAGCAACAGGACTACGAGCGTAGCGCGGGTCCATGGGTGCAGGGGTGAGGAAGAATGAATTCCCCTGTAAATCAGGCAAATGCCAGGCAACACCCACGTCACTAAACGCTCGTACGAAATTACCTAAAAATGTACAATTAAATTCAAATCAATGTTTTATTAAAATATATTTAGATTTAAAATATGATGCATATTTATATTTTATTATTTTTTCATATATATCTATTTACTTCAAATCAGAGTTCTGGAGAGTTAGCATTGCTCTTTTCCTGTGACGGTCTTTCCACATATTTTATGACTAAAAGAACCCTCACACAATGTTCTCATTACGATACAATTAAACAAACAGAATGTTTAAACAAACAAAAACAAAGGGGGTGATCCTAATGTAGCCGCTGCAGCAGCTTCAGGGCTGGGATGAATCAAACCACCGGCTCTAAATCAGAATGCTAATGAGGATGCTGTCCCCGTCTGCCATGACTACTGAGAAGTCCAGCATGGCCGAAAGATGGCGGGACACCACTGGAATTTCTTATTATTAATGCATAATGATGCTGATATGAAGCAGGGTACAAATAGCATCTCAAGCTTACCTAAAAATGTACAATTAAATTCAAATCAATGTTTTATTAAAATATATTTAGCATATTTATATTTTATTATTTTTTCATATATATCTATTTACTTCAAATCAGAGTTCTGGAGAGTTAGCATTGCTCTTTTCCTGTGACGGTCTTTCCACATATTTTATGACTAAAAGAACCCTCACACAATGTTCTCATTACGATACAATTAAACAAACAAAATGTTTAAACAAACAAAAACAAAGGGTGTGCACAGAAATCGACGTTGCCTTGTGTGAACTCAGTAACACCGTCTACATCTTTGCTCTATTTCTGTCGGCAGCCGGTTATTTAAGGCAAGAACTGTTGCCAAGCAACAGGACTACGAGCGTAGCGCGGGTCCATGGGTGCAGGGGTGAGGAAGAATGAATTCCCCTGTAAATCAGGCAAATGCCAGGCAACACCCACGTCACTAAACACTCGTACGAAACAGAGCAGACACTATCTCTGATAACAATTCACTCCTGTTTACTAATTATGTTCACCAGAGCCTCTATGCTTACACTCGATAGCCCCGCAAGTCACTGCCGTGGAAATGAATCATGTCAAATTAAAATGGTATACTGAATGAAATACTGTAGTGATGGATTTGAGGGGAGAGTTAAAGGGACAGTTCACCTAAAAACGTTATTCTGTGGAACATGAAAGAAGATATTTTGAGAAATGTGCTTTCATTTTGGAAGCCGCCAAAACTGGTTGGTTCTTCAAAATATTTTCTTTTAATGTTCCGCAGAAGAATAAAGTCATACATGTTTGGAACGACACGAGGGTGAGTAAATAACAACAGAATTGTAATTTTTGGGTGAGCTATCCCTTTATAATTGTGACATGCAACATGTCAGATATCTGGAAAATGGAAATGCATAAAAAGATATTATGCAAGAAAATTAATGAATATGAGTTCTTCTGGAAAACAAACACTTTTAAAAGTAATCTATCTTATATAGGGAAACCCATTCAATATTTTGTAATTTTTCCATGGGGTTTTTATATGTGACCTCTTCAGCAAAGGAGTCTAAACCATTAATAATGAGGGGACAGGTCACCTTAACTTAAAAAAATTTAACTTTGCCTTGTTTCTTTATTTGCACTATAATAATTAAAGAGATTCATTTTGGTTGGCCGCAGTGGTAAGAAAAAAATTGTTGTTGATCGTGCAAAAACGACAGCTTTAGGACCAAGCTGGAGCAGCTGCCAACCGGCTCCATCAGCAGACGAATGTAATGAAAAAACGAACGCATAATCGGTAAAAAGTGCTGTTTATCACTTGCTCCTACTGGCTGAAATGTTATACCGCGTAACCGTAATTACTAGACGACAACCTGGACATTTACTCTGAGCTGTTCGCATACAACAACAATGCTAATACCAAAAGAAATCTATTTAATCTGAGTAATCAATAGACAAAACCACACTACAACAAGTACAGGTCGTTTTTCAAATGCCTCATTAATGAACTTGTAGTTTATTTAGTGTAACATTACATAATTATTCAGCTTTGTGCTAGCTTCATTATATTGAACGTTTTCATTTATTTATAAAATATTTTTTATATTCTTGCATTACGACATTAACAATATACAACAATAGGATTATAATTAAATTGAATATTACATAATATTATTAAACAGACATTTTGAGTGTTTCTACATGATGTTGCAGCTGTTAGGTTGGAGGATCTCAGAGTTGTAATTATGAGTTCTACGAGGATGTAAAGGACATTTTACAAGCCAGAAACTCGTAATTATGGTAATTCCAACATGGTGTGAACAAACCCTTATGCTAGTCAATATTTAAAATGTCAAAATCATTCATATTAATTTAAGGATTCCATGTTGCATGAAGATTTATAAGATGTCACCACCACTTTTCAAATCATTGCAACAACCATTTTCATCAGTATTATGCATAAATATCGTGACAGTTTTTTGAAGTAACATTAATTTTGAAGATTTCAGTTAAAAGACACATTGTCTTTTTATTTTCAAAGCTATAGAGCATTTATAAAATTCTAGTCGCTGCACATGCAAAGTTAGCATAGGCTTTTCGAAAACACAAGACATTTCAGTGACAGATGTGGTAACTAGCCTTATTTCAGGCAGTACACAGCAGGCCGAACATAAAAATGTCCAGGGACTCATTAACCTCTTACCATTTGATTTCCGTTCGTGTCACAGTTGAAGTCGGAGCTCTTGAATGCGGCGGCGGCGGTGACTGTGTTGGACGGCATCGCCAAATGAGTGACTGTTGAACACAATGCAAAAGTCGAAAAAGATCAAAACAAAAATAAAAGAGCAAAAAAGGCGAAAAACAATGATGACCCTCCTTCTTTAGGATCCCCTGTGAAAAGGAACACCATAATCAGAAGAAACAGCACTCGAACACAACATTCAGAATAAAAAGACACATCCAGAAGATTAGAATAATAATACAATCATTCGTTAATAATAAATAGTTGCCCTCAAATATAAGTGAGATGAGGTGCTTTCAAACTTATATTAGCAACTGGACTTCTTAATGTCTGTTAAGTAAGTAAAACATCGATGTGTATGCAAATATTAGGGAATAAGATGTCACATTCAGGTCGTGAATGAGAAATCAACCTTAATTACATGTCATTTTTCAGTCTAATACACCAGAAAATAAGGTATTGATGAGTTGACTCAAAATGTACGCATTCTCTGACTGCTACATGAAAATCCTTCTCTGGGGTGAAATATGAACTCTTCGCTTTATGGTATTTCCTATTTTCTTCCTCAGAGCAGTTTTAAAGGGATCTGTACATTTTATTCTTCACTCCCATGTATGTGTGCCTCACTGTGCTTTCTCTACAAGTAGGACACCAAAGTCCCATGAAATTAGATTTGGAGGTCAATAAATTAGGCGAGTCTATCGTTAAAGGAATAGTTCACCCAAAAATTAATACTCTGTCTTCTGAATTCTTTGCTTACTGTAATGTCATTCCAAACTCACACAATTTCCTTTCTTCCGGTGGAAAACAAAAGAAGAGGTTTAGCAGAATGTCCATGCCGCTCTTTTCCAGACAATTAAAGTAAATGGTGACCAGAGGCTGTAAAGCTCCAAAAATGACAAGAAGCATCATAAAAGTCATCTAAATTTCTTCACTCCCATGTATGTGTGCTTCAATGTGCTTGCTCTACAAGTAGGACACCAAAGTCCCATGAAATTAGATTTGGAGGTCAATAAATTAGGCGAGTCTATCGTTAAAGTAATAGTTCACCCAAAAATGAATACTCTGTCTTCTGAATTCTTTGCTTACTGTAATGTCATTCCAAACTCACACAATTTCCTTTCTTCCGGTGGAAAACAAAAGAAGAGGTTTAGCAGAATGTCCATGCCGCTCTTTTCCAGACAATTAAAGTAAATGGTGACCAGAGGCTGTAAAGCTCCAAAAATGACAAGAAGCATCATAAAAGTCATCTAAATGATTTGTGCGCTACATCCAAAATCATACTTTCTTTGTGAACCAAACCAAAATTTAAACTGTTGACTCTGAAATCTCAATCATGTAAACATATTTATTCAAAAATGACATATTAGGAAACAGGCTTGACATTTATGATGTCAAACGTCATTGGACCTTATACCTCTTGTAATCAATAAAATTTGATTATGTATGGGATTTTAAAATACGACCGTCTGTTCCTACAAACCTATATGGCTTCAGAAGACTTAAAATAGTGCCACTGGCTTGTGAAGTTGTGAATGACATGAGGGTGAGTAAATTACAGTATTTTCATTTTTGGGTGAACTATCCCTAACTTTTACCAAAAAAAAAAAAATCACAGTAGTAACCATAAAGTACTTTCTGCCCACAGATACATTATAGTGACTAAAATAAGGTAACTTGATATTGCTATTTTCATTAAAACGGAGGAAAACTCTTGAAACTGGATATCCCATATTAATTTATTATTATTTCACAGTTCTAACAATAACTGTAACTATAGTATTTTGGTAAACTCTGGTCTCCACAGTACAGTACATAAATACAAGGGTAATGGCCAATTATTAATATTCAATAACCGGTGAGATGTGTCACAGGTATCCAATCACAAGGTGATAATTGATCACGTGTCTATCATAGTCTGTAACTGCATAAAAAGCTATTTTAATCATCCGCCTACTCGGATTATTCGGCCTTTATAAATGACAGTCATTTCCAACAGGCCAAGGCGGCTTAAATGTGACCCTTTCAAAAACTAGGTGATCTGCCTACCTAGACAGCACTTTTGGGCACCTTCAGCGTGTCTTTTGGCATTTTTGGGCATCATAAGCGCTTGCGGAACAGAATGATTATCAAAAATGCTGTCTAGGTAGGCAGCTCGTTAGGTTTTGAAACACAGCCATTGTTTCAAATCGAGTGGACTGACGCTACGCTTGCGAGGAGCTACAAATGAACGGTCATCAAGTTCAAGAGCATATCGCGGGGTATTAAGTCGCACATCTGTAAGAGCAGGAAAAACCACTGGCCACATCGAGCCGCCCCCCTCCGTATCGCCCCGAAAAACGGCCAGCCCCACGGCGGAGACTTATTTCGATGGCGGCCTTAGGTTCTAGACAAGTGGATCGCAGTGTTAATTACCCGCTTCGCCAAGTTCCAGGTCTGACCCCTTTTTTGTTTTCGCTGACTCCCGGATCCTCTTTCTGCTTCGCTCTCCCCGTCCTCCACCACCTCCACAGCCGGCCAACTCTCCTCCAGATGCTCCGCTCTCACTGACTGCAGAGGCCGCTCCGACAGCAGCTCCGCGGGTCCTAGAGTCAGCCGGTTACGGGGATAGGGTTTGCCTGTCAGAGAGAGACATCATCATGATCCAAGTCTTCCTTAAAGTCGGCATGAAATCATCCTATGTATTTTCTAAATGCATATTGTAGATCTTATTGCGAACGATTTAGCTTTGTATGTTTTGTTTATTGATTCATTAATTTATTTTCAATTCTATAAAAATGTCAGAACTGGACCTTCCAGTGAAAGTGACGGTCTCTTCTCTGAAGATGTAGGCCGGACTCCTCCAATCATTTAGTCCGTTTATTTAAACCACGCCCCTGCAACTCAGCCTTCAATTTTTAAAGCAACGCCCACATGTCATCATTCAATCAAGTCCCGCCCTATATTTTTTTCTTTTTCGATAATTTGTTAAGGTGTTAGGTGTGTTCACGCCATGTCGTAATTACGGCTTCGTCATACCTAGAGCTGATCCGTGCTGGTCGCTGAGGAAATACATCAACTTTCACCGTGGACAAAGCGGAGTCCAGCCTGGGGTCATCACATGTGGTTGCCGCTCATTCGTCGGATCCGCCGGGCGCGGCGTTCTC